GTTCAGACACCAATGAGACCAGCAGCTCTACATTCATCTTGCCTCGATGCATCTTCTTGGTCTACTTACTTCCTTTTTCGTTCGTCGTTAGGTATCAATGAAGGAGCTTGTTGCAGTCCGTGGAACACCGCTAGTTGCACACCGTTTTCGTAAGGGCTGGGACACACCAAGCCGACGGTCTGCTGAGCCGCTTAAAATGATTAAAGTTATCACGTTACTGATATTCAAAATGGTAAGCGTGCAAGCGCTGCTTTGTTTACGTTTCGTATATCTGCGTTTATCTCGTATATCTTTGTTTCGGTTTCTCCTTTTGAATGACAAATATATACTACCGCTAGTTGCACACCGTTTTCGTAAGGGCTGGGACACACCAAGCCGACGGTCTGCTGAGCCGCTTAAAATGATTAAAGTTATCACGTTACTGATATTCAAAATGGTAAGCGTGCAAGCGCTGCTTTGTTTACGTTTCGTATATCTGCGTTTATCTCGTATATCTTTGTTTCGGTTTCTCATTTTGAATGACGAATATATACAATCTGATAGCTGCTGATATACAGTTAATTCCTCTCACGCATGCGCACGTGTTAGTTTGACGTCGGCTGTAGTCTACTCTGTGCGGTGTGTTCGAGCGCAGCTTTTTGGTCCGATGATGCCGACGTGAGGCGACAACACCGTCGGCTTTCGTTGCCGCTAGTTCTTTGAAGTCGGCTTGGTGTGTCCCGGGCTGCGTTCCAGTCCGTTTTTTTATGCCCTTCACTTGCAAACTTCCCTCCTGCCTTGTCCAAATACCCACACTTGCGGTCTTTGCACTTGACCACGTATATTACGTATTTCCTGTATTTGGCCCAAGTGTTCAAGTGAGCATGAAGACCACAAGAGTGTGTAGAACTTTTCATTACCTGATGGGAAACACTTATAGTGTTGTAAAAATGCAAGTGTTTATAGAGCTTTATTTTTATTTTCAATATTTTGCATTTTAACATCAACTTCTAAATGTCTGTTCAGTAGTCCCTATAACAGATGACACAATTTAATTTTGTGGTGCTTCTAATT